GTTGTGATCCACACAGTCAAAAGCCTTTGCATAGTCAATGAAGCACAGATAGACATTCTTCTGGTATTCTTTGCTTTCTGCCACGATCCATCTAACATTAGCTATAATATCCCTAATACCACGACCTCTTCGAAATCCAGCCTGCATATCTGACAGTTCTCTGTTGACATACTGTTCCAAATGTTTTTGGATCATTTTCAACAGAATCTTGCTTGCATGTGATATTAATGATATTGTTCTATAATTTCCACACTCTGTTGGGTCACCTCTCTTTAGAATGGGAACAAATATTAATCTTTTCCAGTCAGACATCCAGCTGGCTGTCCTCCAGATTTCTTGGCACAACTTAGTGAGCACATCCAGGCCAGCGTCTGTTTGTTGAAATATGTCAACTGTTATGCCATGAACTCCTGGAGCCTTGTTTTTTGCCAATTCCTTCAGAGCAAGTTGAACTTCCTCCTTCATCACCATATGTTATTTCATGAAATTCTTCTGTGTCAGCCAATTCCTTCTGATATAGTGACTCTGTGTACTTTTTCCATCTTCTCTTGATACTTCCTGGATCATTTAACATTCTATCCAAAGTATACTTAAGTATTGCCGCCCCTGGCTTGAATTTGTTTTTCAACTCCTTCAGCTTAACAAATGCTGAGCCAGTCTGGCCCTTCTGATTTCCTGACTCCAGCTCTCTGCACATTTCATTATAGTATCTTGCTTTGTCGTCCCGGGCTGCCTTTTGAAATTTTCTGTTCAGCTCTTTAATTTCTTGGTTTCTTCCTTTAGCTTTGGCTTCTCAGCGCTCTAATGCAGTACTCAGAGTCTCATCTGACATCCATCTTAGTCTTTTCTTCTTTTTCAGCCTTTGTAATGATCTTTTGCATTCTTCATGGACAATATTCTTGATATACTCTCACAGCTCACTTGGTCTATGCTCATTGGTGCTCAAGGCCTCAAACCTGTTCCTGAGATGGTTTTGAAATTCAAGTCGGATAGACTTAAGAGCAAATTTTGGTTCCCTTGGACTTGATTTAATTTTCCTCAACTTCAGCTTGAATTTGCATATGAGTAGTTGGTGGTCTGTCACACAATCAGCACCTGGCCTGGTTTTCACTGCTAATATTGAGCTTCTCCAGGGAGTCTTTCCACAAATGTAATTGATTTGATTCCTATGTGTACCATCTGGTGAGATCCATGTGTATAGCCTGTGTTTATATTTCTTATAAAAGGTGCCTGCAATAAATAAATCATTGAATGTGCATAACTCTATCATTCTATCTCCAGCCTCATTTCTCTCACCAAGGCCATGTTTTCCAGCTACCGATCCTTCTTCCCTGTCCCTAACTTTTGCATTCCAGTTGCGCATTATTATCAATGCATCTTGATTGCATGTTTGATCAAT